ATTTCTTTGCTTCTTGATATTAAGGAAAATATCAAAAAATGAGAACAAAAGCTCCCGATGAAAGTAACTCGCTCGCTCATAATACACGCAAAGCAGAACTGCTCATTGCACAGCAGCTTGCTGTGCTGTGCTGCTTCACAGGGTGCAAGGATTTAATGCAGCTGGAGTGGGAAAATACAATTGGAAATACGGTGCCTTTGGTTGTCTTCGCAAAGCACTCCCTCCTACAAAAATAGCAACTTTCAGGTGTAACTCAGCATTCCCAATTAAATCAAAGGTAATCAGGCTGTGTCTAAAGCAGCCTGCCAACTCTGTCCTTCCCCGCTTAACCCTTTAGTGACTCCACTTGGAACAAAAGCCACTTCCCCCAGCTGCCGGAGCGCGGTTTGGGCAGGACGGGGCAATCCTGCCAGGGTAGGGGAAGGAGCCCCCCACCTCCCCACCCCAAAATGTGCTGAGATGAGCCCCCCATTCCCAGCCCTAACCCCCTTACCCTCCCAGCCTGCTGTCTCCCGAGCATCTCCGCATCTCTCACGGCAGCATCCGATCCCACCCCGGCTCCGCAGCCAGGCAGAGCACTGCAGGGATTTTGTTGGGCTGGGATTTCTCAGCCCCCTTGCAATGATGGGGTCACCCTTCCAGCCCCCCAATTTGCAGCAGTGGCCGTGCAGGAAGGGGTTGCGGGGGGATGCTCCTCACCTTTGCAAGCACACATGGAGGAGGCGAGGAGGAGGAGGAGGAGCAGGAGCAGCGGGGACCCTGGCAGCCCCCCGCTGCTCCCCAGGCTGCGTGGCGGGGTGGCCGTGGGGGGCTGCTGGTGGCAGAGCTGTCCCATGACCGTGGTGCCCCCTGCTCTGCCTCCCCACCGGCTGGCCATGCCCTCGCTCCCTTCCCAAACTTTTTAAGTCTCCCTGACACGTGGACCAGCATCAGCTTGACTCACGGAGGACACGTCACCCGCCCTGCCCACCCCTGCCCGTCTCCCCGCCACCCACCCACCCAGGCCCAGACCCCCCTCATCTCCGCCGGTGACTCAGCCCCGCTCCCACCTCGGGGGCAGATCTGTTCTCAAACCTGCTGCTACGGGTGCATGGCCCTGCTTGGCTTCCAGACACAGGGCTGGGCAGCCTCTAGGGCCTTTCTTCATGACCCCCCTCTTAGAGAAACATCTATGCCTTAAAAAAGCCCCCCAGCTGTGGTGGCAGCCTCGTGATGGAGCACAAAATGGCCGCTGCCCCCTCACCGTGCTTGGAAGTTGAGGGTGATGGCTTGGGGTGGCAAAGGTGACCTTTTGGGGACAGCCCAACCCCAGTGTGCTGGGGAGAAGGGGCACAATTTAACACTGGGACATCCCACCTGGTGGCCAGAAAGGTGCGGGCACCTTCTGATCAAGATAAGGACGAACCCAGTTTGTGAAGAAGCCACTTGGTGAAGCACAGGTGTGAGCTGTGGCCACCTCTTCTTCCCCATGTATATACATGTTTCATAGCAGAACTGCGAATCACACAAATGGGAAAAGAGAATATGCTGAAAAGAGAGCAGTGCTGGTGCTTTTCATCTCCAGTATTTTGGTTGAGGAAGCTGGGTGCAACTCAAAACAGGTTGTCAGCATGGAAACCAGCTTCATAACTTGAGGCTGAATGGCCCCTGGGACAAAGGAGAGAACAAACACACACACAGTGCTACACCATGAAGCAGAACTCAGGAATATGGTGGCATTTGGGCATTAAATCTTAGTACAGGGCTTAGCAGACCTGTGGCCCCTCATAGCCAGCCAAGCAGCAGGGGCTGGCTTTCTCCAAATGTGCATTTTGGGGCAGCATCTCACAAGTCACAGTCCAGCTTTACAATCTGTTTCCCAGTTTTTGTTTTTGTTTTTCCACTCTCTCATATTATTTGCTTGGCTGGACTTGCAAAGGAAATACTACACAATGGTCCAGCAATGAGACATTGGTGTATTATTAGGGACTGTTATCTTCCCAAAGCAGCATGAAGTGCTTTTTGACCATCTTGGTGGGTTTTGATCTGGAGTGAATGGTGGGTAGTGGAAAACAAACAAACAAACAAATAAAAACCTGCCTGATAAGAGCAGTGGATGCTACTGCAAAACAAAAGACAACTTTGATTTATAACAATAGATTTGTGCTTGCTCTTTGCCTTTGCTCTTATCAGTCATATGTGCTACAAATTTTGCTCTGCCACCAGGCACGCTTTGACAGGCCATCAAAAGTTCACAAGCTTTGCCAGCCAGCACGCAAGGATGCTATAAAATTCTCTCAGTAATAGAAGGATCTTCTCTATCAGATTTAATAGCAAAGCTTTCCTTAATATGGCTGGGTACAGAGTTAATCCTTGTGCCAGTGGAAAGCCAGTCACCAGATATAACAGTACAAACATTAAAGACGTACATATTTTGTATTTATTACTGTATTTGTATCCACCTAATTAAATGAGTTGTTTTAAAACAATCCAAAACAAGGACCTGCATTTGGTTCTGTTTTCTGTTAATAAAAACAGAATATATTTATTTAGAAGACATTATCATAAATTGGAAGACACCAGTGCTGAAAAATATCTCCCTAATCTATCTTGATTCAAATACAAATTAGTGTCCCAAGCCTTGGCCTATAGAAGGATTTAATATGTTGTAAATTTTGTTAATTAATACCTTCTTCTTAAATATTTAATAGGTTGTGTGGCAAAATAAATGACAGTATTTTATAAATTTGAAAGTTAAATACCTGTAAAAATTCTTCCCCTGTTGAGTGGTGCACAGAATGTTTCATGTATAGTGAAAAAAATGATACCTCTTGAATTAAACATTATTTTCAGTTGAAGGAGTTCAGATTAGCGCAGAAATTGAATTTATGTGATATCTATTTCAATATTGCAGACTGAAATATTTTGCTGAATCCACTTGCTTGAACACATTAAAACAGATTTTGAAGATAATGAGAAAAACTTCCAGGTAGATGAATTCTGGTTAACCATTTACCAGAAAATAACCATCTAATACTTCTCTGTGTGCTCTGATTTGTATTGTTCCATCATCTTTCACCTGCAACATGAATTTTATTTTCAACTGATTGCTGCTGTTGAGCAAAAGCAGCAACCATTAAACATGTCATCCTCTTTGTGCCTTGAGTTACATTAGTTGAACCCCAGCAGGCTGGCTTCTTCCAGAACTTTCAACCCGGTCTGAACCGCTTTTCATTTTAGATTATGCCTTTTTACTTTTACTTTTTGCATTTCCTCATATATGTAAAGTAAACGTAAATAATCATTAGTTAAAAGTACAGATTAATGCACTTCAGCAAAAGAGCATATTTGCATTAAGCCCAAGTTTATACCCAGACAAAATTTCTACTGAAATCTTTACAAATTTGATCAAAGCAAGTTCTCCAAGCTTGGATCTCAATTTATGTGAGGTTTACACAGCTTATGATGATCGACTTTACACAAGTAACTCATTGAAATGCAAGTGAGCATTCTTGTAAACCGGAGAAAAAAATACGCCTTTCTGCATTGTATCTGTTTTTGGTTTGTTTAATTGCTTGATGAAATTAATATTACACTATTGCAGGAACAAAGCACATCCTCATTAAAAGAATAGCTTGGAGGATGTTTTGGATGCTGTAATTAGCTGCTTTGAAATATTTATTTTCTTCCTAATGGTGCTTGAACAAATGTTAATTATGGCTAGTGGAAAGGAAATCAAACAGCTGAGCATGTGAAACCACCATCTTCTCCGTCTTCAGAGAAGTCAAGGTCAGGAGGCACGTCACTGAATCCACTCCCTTGCTGGGCACACGCACAAAGCCTGAGAAGAGGCCAGTGCATGCTGTTTTTTCTGTGACTTTAATTTCTTAAAAAATATGAAAAATCATTCCATCTGCACCTGAACTTAAGCACCAAGAGAGTTTTGGTTTGTACTGCACTTTTTTTCAACAAAATATTCAAAACTTTCTGGAGACTGCTTGAAGCAGGTCAGTGTGTGCTGACATGCACTGATGTCTCTCACAAGTCCAGGTAGGCCCATTAATATCTTCCTTCTTCTCTACAATGAAAAAGGTGTGTACTTGGCTTTTCTTGTTTAAGCTCCAGAGAATTAAACTTTGTGGAGGCAAGTCTCAATCATCACTTAATGCCTGCTTAAGTATTGCACTTCTTCAAGGCATTCTCTTCATTATTTACTAATATTGCACAGGAAGCTTGTCCTGGAACAAAGACCCATGAAGTAAAGTCTCTAGGGACTCAGTTCAAGAATCAGCCTCCCTGAATAGGCTTTCATAGCTGTATTGAATTAACCCCAAAAGACTTTCACTTCATAGAAGTATTTAGAGCTATCTCCCTACAAATGGGAGACAAACAACCACCACCAAGCCATATAAGGTGTACGAGGGCCTGTATTTTCTCAGAATATTCTTTTCTTATTTTAGCCAAGATAATTTCTCAGCTCTTCCCTTATGAGTAAGTAACATTCAAATGGCCTTAGGAGTCTATAATGAACTATTGAGGATAACTTGCCTGAATTGCTGGAGATGAAGAGAGAGACCCCAGCCCCTGGGCTAGGAGAGGACTACATTAGGAAAGAGTGATAGGAATGCTTGCAGCAAATGTTCAGGGCTGTCTTCAAAAGACCCAGCCTGTTTGCTATAAACTGCTCTTCCATAAAAGATATATTGTTGAGCTCTGTAATGACTAAAGGAAAGTTACGGTGTCTAAATTCAGCAAAAATATTGTAATCTTTCAAAAATTGTACCTATGCTTCCCGCATTGTAACTATGCAGCAACAGGCAGTCAGGCAGGCAGGCAGGAAGAGAGAGAGAGAGAGAGAGAAAGAAAGAAAGAAAAAGAGAAAAAAAGAGAAAGAGAGAAAGAGAGAAAGAGAGAAAGAGAGAAAGAGAGAGAGAAAGGAAGGAAGGAAGGAAGGAAGGAAGGAAGGAAGGAAGGAAAGGAAGGAAGGAAGGAAGGAAGGAAGGAAGGAAGGAAGGAAGGAAGGAAGGAAGGAAGGAAGGAAGGAAGGAAGGAAGGAAGGAAGGAAGGAAGGAAGGTGGATGAAGGGATGTAAACACTTTTGAACATTTCCCTTTATTTTTTTAATCTTATCTGAGAACATTCTCAAAATCACCATGTTTCCTCACAGCTTGCTTGTGAGGTACAACTAATACCTACTGGAGGACATCTTTGCACAGAAACCACGTCAGTATTAGCTCAGTCATCTGAAGGGACTTGAACAGGTTGGTTGGAGAGGTGACATCTCCATCCTCAAGACCCAGCTGGACAAAGGCCCAAGCAACACAGTTTTAATTCAGCATTGACTGCTGTGAGCAGAAAAAATGAACAACCCTCCTGCAAGTCTCTTCCAGCCTGAATCATTCAGTGATTCTCTGCCTAAAGTGTTGGGCGAGGGGGATCCCTGCAGGCTGCTGTTTACCCGGTTAATTTGTTCATTCTCCTCCTAAGAACAGAGCACTCAGGAGATGTCAATTTTACTTATAAATCGTATTTGTTAATAGATCAGGCAACAGATGAATAATTAATAGATTTTGTTATGTCAAAATAATGGTAAACAAAATCAATTCTAGCAATCCAATTTAGCAGCACTACAAAGCTGCTCTTGCTGTGGGTTATTCTGTGAGGCAGCGTACCTGGCAGGATATTATTTCTGGATACACTGCCTACAACTTTTTTTTTTTTTTTTAATGATTATTATTAAACCAACCATGAAATGCTGAAGAGCACAAAAAAACAAAACAAAACAAAACAAAAAAAAACATCATCCATAGAGTCTTCAGCCCTTCAACTCTGCCCTCCAATTCTCAAAGTTCAATAAATTTCTCTTTGCTTGGTTTTAGATTTTTGGAGTCTGTGAGTCTCATGCTATCTCTGAAGTTTAACAGATAAAACATTTTTCTGTGCAAAGCTGTATTTTGGGAGAGAACCTCTTCTTTTCACTTCTCTTGAGATCAACCCGGCTGCAGTCATTAGCCTAGGAGGCAATGTCTTGAAAAATTAAGTTTCATAGGAGAGTTTTGTAATGTGTCTTACCTATCTAATCCCAGACAGCATGATCTGCCACATGAACTTTTCAATGGCTTTGTAGTGATAACCTGCAACTCAGAAATGACTAAAACCTTTATACACATCACAGTTTTGATTATCTTAAAAGTTGAGTGGAGTTCTGAAGAGACTGCTCAAGTATGTCACTGATGGTCAGCTCACCGTCCCTTGCTCGCTCTTTGCCAGATTTTGAGCTTCAGGCTGTCACCAGCTTCACTTCGCATCAACTTAAATCCTGCAAAATGCTGCACATCAGTGATTGCTTATATACTGAATGTACTGATCCCCATGGCTCCTCCCAGCCCTATATGCCTCTGATGTCTACCCACCAGGAACATGTGCTTCTCTGTAAAGCCTCAAGCCTTGGGATCCTCACCGCATGCTGATTGCCATGGGAGCTTTGTGCTCCAACCCCAGCACTATTCAGAACCTGTGATGGGGAGCCCAGAATTTACAAGGGACATTGTAAATGTCCCAACATTTACCAGGAGTCATTGAGAAGAAATAAGAGCTACATGGAAGAGAGAAAGACTAACTTGGGAGAGGCTGAGGCAGCCCTCTGAGCTGATGTTAGCGAACGGCATGCCCTGGACTTGATATTTGAGGCAATTGAGAACAAAACTGCTTTGAATTATGGGTCAGGAATTATGCTGTCATTATATCAATGTATCAAGTACAGCACAGCAGCGACCTCATGCTTAGCTATTACTTTCTTTGCTGTACCACACTCCTAATTTTTAATATTTCTTTAGCTTCTATATTGTACATGGCACAGATTGGGAAGATGCAGTAAGAAACAACTTTAAATCAATTCATTCCTCTTTTTGTCCAAGGAAAATGAAGAATCTAACCAACTCAAGATGTCCCAAGCTCTTTGACACTGCAAAGCTGTAGCCTTATTTCTGGCTCTACTCAAAAGCATCCGAAAACTGTGAATGCTGAACTAGCAGAGCTGCTGGACTGACTCTGTATGGAAGTTCTTATGTCTTGGATGACAAAAGCGACATTTTCCCTGTGTAATTACCTGACATTTGGCACCTGCATGAATATTCACACAGCTATATACGTAACTACTTACAGCATATGAGTAGTAGGAATGAATCCTCCGAGCAAACTGTCCCAACGTAAGCTACAGCAACCACAGCCTGTTTTCCTCCTTAAGAGCTCATCTACTCATAGCATCTGGTGGGTCACACAGGGGCCTCCTGGAAAAACATTATGAAAAATGCTACTTAGCATGCAGAAGTGTTTACAAATACAGAAAAATAAAGACTTTTCCAACTACGACTACAAGTGGCAGTTCTCCCTGCAACAGCAAATAAACCCAAACCCTCTGCACCGCTGGTGCACTCTGCATCTTGAGTGGCAGCCCTGCAGTTGTCAGGATCGTTATTTGTTACTCTTAGTATGGAGGTAAGGGCTATGAAAAGAATACAAATGCAGAGGTTTTCATACACAGTTTTTAAAAGTTTTGAAAAATCAGTTCTTGCCTAAAAGATTTCATAGCATAATTTGAATTAGGAGCATGGAAGTATATTTTTACAGGAACATGTAGTTAGATAACTAGCTTTCTTTTTAAGAAAGCATTTTCCTATTGAGATCATTACTTTTTAATAAGTGAAGTTTTAGTGGAACATACTTACACTGAACACTGTTGCCTGGATGTGGAATGATGATTAATATTGCTGTTACTAAAGCCATGGCAAAACTGATTTTTCTGGTACAGAAACAAATATTCTTTGACACAGTACTAAGGAAATCAAGGAAAAGCAGGTACTGTTAACCTCATACCTGGCCAAAACAAAATGAAGCAAAATCAGTAGTAGGCAGATGGAAAAAACAAAATCATTAGGAGGGAAATTTTATTTTCAGACTTCTAGAGACATTTTGGATGAACAACTGAGAGTGGAAGTGGAAAAAACAGGCTTACTACTTTCTTTCATGTGAACAAAATATACCTGTATATATGGCTATGTGATACATAGGCACACAAAAAGAAATCCTTCAGCACTCTCATACCTTCCACTATTTTTTGTCAACTCAATAAATTTAACAGAAGCCTAGCCAGTTGAAATAAATTTAGTAAAAACAGTAGGAAACATTTATATTTGTAATTTCTTTTCTTGTCCTTTACATCAGATGAAATAAAGTGAATTTAATTTCTGGTAGAGAACTCCCACGTGCCTGCAGGAGTCATGCTGTGTGTCAGGAGCACACCATCCTTTCTTTTAGACCTCCAGGTTGCTGTTTCCCTGCGTCACAGGGAAACGAGTAGCACCAGACAGCCTTCATTTGGCCAGACATGAGTGGTAAAGTGCATCAGGCTCCTGCTCACTCAGTCAGCTCTGTTAGTTTGCCAGCCTGAGACTGACTTAGCAAGGTCGGACTCCAGCATCACTTCTCAGGGGCATGACCAGCTCCCAACAAACACATCTGGCTGCTGGGGTGTGCACCCAACAGCATCCTGTGCTTTAGCTGCCCCTCTTTCTGCTTGGGTTATGCAGAGCACTATTCTGTCACTGGGAAATCACTGCTGCAAAGTGGAAGAGATGCTGGAAACTGCTGTCAGGACATTTGCCATTACACCAGCATTTTTGTCAGCTTCATTCACTCGCAAGCTTTTGTGTTGCTCACTGATGTGAGGGACACCCTGTGCCTTACAGCCCAGCGTCCTGGTGGGCTGGGTGCTGAGGAGCCCACATAACAGACCTGCTGGCTGCCAAAGCCCGGGAACAAAGCAGAATAAAGTGGGTGATCATATCCTAGTAGGTAAAAATCACAAAAATGACAACCAGGAGAAAAGCATGCTTTTCTCTTTTTCTTTTAAATGTTCTTGGAAGCTTAGGACAAAAAAGCTTTAGCTGTTGGGAAGAGCATAAGGTGTCATATCCTTCAGGGAAAGATCAATTCATCTTACAGTAATGCGATTTTCCTTCCTAAATTCTTTAACTTCAGATTTTATATTGCTGTCTTCTCCGCTGAAAGAGCTCCTCAAACACACATATAATCTATGTAAATAAAACAAAAAAAAAAAAAACACAACAGTTTTATTGGTGACATAAGTAAAAAGTTATCATTTGTGTCTTCTGCTAAATATTAGAAATGAAGACTCAGAAAGCAAGCGTGTCAGAAAGACCAAGCAAACTATGAAGCTGAGAGTTCTGTCACAAATTAACAAATTAATTCAAACTGCATGCTTAAACTATGTATTGTATGTAATATGCATTAATAAACATTAATTATTTAACATATAATCACATTTATATATTATTAGTATATATTAAGAGTCTAATTTAATAATTACACCATATAATACTTAATCAATTTTTATATTAATTTATGTACTTAATATATGTTGGTTATTTTTAAATGTGCTATAAAATGAAGGGAACTTTTCAAAAGAAAAACCATCAGCCTAAAGCACAACAGCAGCTAAAAGGGAAGCTGGCTATATAATACTTTGTAATACTATATAGTAGGCCAGACGATTACAGTATGTATGTGGTCAAATTGCATCTCTTCTCCCTCCAAGAGCCACAGAAAATTCTGACAAGGATTGTTCAGCTGATGTTGCTGGCTGGCAGGCTCTGTGGGGGTTAAGAAGGCGAGAGCTCACATCTTGCTCCACCTATAAAAAGGCCTACAAATTTCAGTCAGGAAAGATCAAGCTGACTCTCGTGGTCTGAAGTCTAATTATACTCTCCAAGGAACCAAAAATCTCTACGGTGAATTTTGACACAACCTTGTTTAAGGTTAAAACAACACAAAGTTAGTCTGAGTTTGAATCACTATGTAAATTAGCAGGATGCTTGAAAACAGAGGTTAAGATAATAACAAAACTCAGTGACACAGAATCATGTATCTCGTGTCCTTTCCGGACAACCCAGTAACAACACCGAGATCATGGGCGGCCATCAACATCACCATCAACATCATTGGCCATCGCAGTGACCACGGGTGGATGCTTCTGAGCTCTGCTTTTGCTGCGCTTGTCTTCCCTGGTGGCAGATTTTTACTGACAGATCAGCTGAATCTCATTACTCCAAGGAGTCATGCTTCGGGAAGTGAACACCTTGAAATGTCACGACCTTTCCCTGACAAGAAAAAATGTCACTAAGGAAAAGGGGATAGAAATAAAAGAAAGAGACGGAGGGTTGCAATTAGTGAAAATGTATTTATTTCAGAATTGTATAGCAATGGACTTTTTAATGGAAATACAATTGCCACCTGAATAGCTACATTTCTAAGGTAGATATAAAATACACTCACTGGTTCATCTGTTGGTCAGTCCCTGGTGAAAGAAGGACTCCTGCTCTGCTACCCTGGTTTGACAGAGGTGATACAACAGAGCTGTACCAGCTTTAAACTGATATAACAGTTGATGAAGCCCAACCAGTTGTCAATATACTTAGTGTCTGTTTTGGAAATTTTTATTTTAAAGCCACCACTTCAGTGTATGTCGGGGTTGGAGAGCTAACACTTCACTAGACATACATGACCTGACATTTCTGTCGTTAGACCTTTGTGATAAAAGTTCTGAATTCAGAGACAGCTTCTGACTTTTAAAGGTTTAAATGAGGAAAGAACCACAGAGTTATGATGAGGAGAGGAGTTATCGGTAAAGTTATCCAAATGCTCGCCCGCTGAAGTTTTTCTTTGGACAATCTTATTGCCTACTTGCTCAAGGCTGAAAATTTGCACATAGAATATTTTCTATGTGATATTTTGTGCTGCGTATAGAGTTTTATTTCATCTTCTTCCCAAATAGCCCCAGAAGACTTAGGGCTGAATTCTCTTTTACCCTAATGACTGGGCAGGGTTATTATGGTGGTTTCCATTCTCAGGTGCCCACCCTGCTCCTCTTTTAAACTCTGCCCACTTGTGAAATTAAAAATGTTATTTTTCATCTACAAAAAAGAAAAGGAAGCTGGAAGGAAATAGTCCCTGGTTGAATTACCTGGGAAAATATCTGTTGTCATGAATTCTTACTCATTTGCAAATCTAATCTTTTAATTAAAAGATTACAAAGATTTCCATCTCAGGTTTGACTTCCCTGGCTCCTATTTCAGTATGTGGAGGCATCTAACCCTTCCCCATTGGCTACAGGGAGAAGACAAATGCACATCCACCTGCCACCAGCAAACCCCTCGCAGCTACCTGAGGACAGAAAGGCAGTAAATCACACCAAGGCATGGCTATAACCAACAGGCAGACAAAAATGAGACAAGGGATGCAAAGCTCCTTCCTTCCATTGGTACAAGGCTCTGTGCATGGTCACAAGACTCATAGATGGAAGAAGAGGAACAGACCCCTCTCTTTATTGCTTCCGACCTGATTTGAAGGGGAGGCAGCACTTATGAGAAACTCTTGGTAATATCAAGTGATGAATATGCCCTGGCTGCTTATGTAGAATGACTGATCACTGTCATTTGCAATTTTCCCCTTTCAGAGGGCTTAATTTCATGACTGTCAGTCTGAATCTTTTGGTCTGTTTCGGGACTGAAGTGCTGCTTTTTATATGTATCTCTTAAGTTTGATTCAGAAGCGTCAGTTGGAATATTATCTTCCACAAAAATTGACACACTCCAGTCATTTTGAATTGATTTATATCATATTGCACATTTCCAGATTAAAGTTCTGAAAAACTGTAAGTGCTTCTATACTTTAGACAGACTTACCATCTTCCCCAGCTGACGGACATTTACGAATTCTTAATGCTGAAACGGGCTTAATTCCATATACTGTGGACAACTCAAACTCTTATTGTTGTTTTTCCCTTTTCTTTCTCTTTTTTTGAATGTATGTATTGATGACTGCCTTAAAGCAACTGCAATATTTGTGTTACATTTGTGCAATAGGTGGAGTACCTAAAACTAGGAATGTTGTTTTATGATACATTTATTCTTTGAAAATTAAGAATAACCATAAGGTTCCTTACTTATTTTCTTTTTTTATTTCCACATTTTCCCTTACTTTGACAGCATCCATTTCTGCAGTCCCAAATGAATGAGCCTTCTCTTTGGGATTCCTTTTAGGATGTCCACAGCTATGTAAGAAAAACTGTGGTTGTCACACAATCTTTCCATTGATATTAATGAAGCCGAGATTGCAGCTCAAAGGCTTTTCTTCAAACTCACAGCATAGCTAAACAAATTGCTCTGCTAATCCATATGAAAAAATGTTACCAGAGAGCTGAAGAAGAGACCTCCATCTGTTCAAATTGTAAATCGAACCATCTAAGATCAGTCTTTTCCATATTAGTAATTAATGTTCATTTTATTAAAATGTTCTTGTTGATATTTTTTTTTAAATATTTTTCCTTTAGTAGCTCTCTTTACGTGACTCCTGCCTTCCTAACACCAGTGTACTCACACTATACTGGGAACCTGGTTTGTTGTAAAATGGACTCGTTGTATGTCCTCACTCAGTTAGGTCTGAATATACTTTAAAAGCCAGGGAAACCTAATTCCAGAAAACATGATTTCAGAAAAATCGCTGTCTTATATGGACATGGAACACCTGAATTTACAGACCTCTTGAAGATGTCTAAGGTGCAGAATATTCACAAAATCTAAATAAATGTTAAAGCTTCAGTCATGAACTTCTCTCACCAGTGACTCGGAGTTGGGTGTCTAATTTAGATGGCTGAATTGCCCTTAAGTGTCACACCCCACACACCTATTACAAACATGAAGCTATTTTCTTTCAGATTCTCAGTATAGTCCTAAGTAAACTGTTCAGTGAGCCTTCAAAATATTGTGCCTGATGAGATTTTTATTGCTAATACCTTGAACACAACCCTTTTTTTTTTAATCCAAAAAGAAAATGGATTTTAAGAAATATGAATCACCTTTGGGGAGGAAGAAAATGAGGAAAAACATAGTTATTTTTGCAAAAGTGTGTGAATTTGAATTGATTATACAGCTTTCTCTGCTGCTGCCTCCAAAATCAGGTGTCTGTTGAAAACCTTAATGCTTTACACCATCTTTACTGAATTCCATATGTTGAAATAACTGATATGTGTTTTAAGACATAAAGAAAACTGTGGCTTTGAGTCGGACTGGGTTTTAGGTAACAGTATTTATAACAGCAGGCTGTGAAAGTCTTCAGCTTCAAGGAGGCAGCATTGGCATTGCTAAGAAAAATCTTGAGCTGGTGGTCTAAATTTATGAATGGTCTAAGTGCGGACACCCCAGTATTTGATCTTATACCTTTATACCAGACCCAAATGCAGTTCATTGTCAAAGCCAAATCTGTCTTAATAATATTGCCCTATAATCTCCCATTTTCAACCCAGATCATTTCCAAAGACTATAGGTGGTGCAATGCCTTGATCAACAGGGGCCAATGCTCTGGCCTACAGAAGGTCAAATAGAACAGACTAGAATTGAATAGCCTAGGTACACACAATCGTGGGTTTTGAATAGCCTAGGTACACACAATCTTGGTTTTATGCTACCAATAGAAAGTAGACATAGTTTGAGATGCTTGTACTGGTCACCAGTAGATGACCAACATGCATCAGCTCTGACTACGCAGGGGACACAAGTCTACCATGCTGTTTTGCTGGTATCTCGGTACTGCAGTAGTTACTTCATGTTAACCTGCATGTAAATGGTGGACTCTGAAGAACATCAGCCTAAAAGAGCTACATTGTGCTGACAAAAGACACTTTTAAAAGGCAAATAACTCCATGCTGTTAGAAGAGCCTTCCTTGTTCTCTAGCAAACCTTGCTTTCCCTCTCTTTTCTAACCTAATGCCACAAAATGATATGTTGCAAACCAGAATTACAAGCCAAACAAGGCTTTGTGCTGGTTTTTGGTTAATGTTCAAGGAAAGGAAAGGTATGCATGCTTTACCTTGCTTAATTAGGAGAAGATTTACAAATTAGGTAAAGGAGAACAAACCTCTAAGTGGTTGTTTAGCTGTTTAGCTATTTGTAGGATTTACTAGTACTAATAATGGATCTAAATAGAAGTAATAACCAGTTTTGGACTGTTTTGAATTCCTTTCCTTCATAATATCAACGACACATTCAATTTTTAACAATAGCTCATTTACATTCTAAATTACTTAAGTCATTAAGGCTTGGGACTGTAGGACACTAAAGAACATCTCAGAACTATCATTATGACTCCACAGACTAATATGACACTGAACCAAACTGCTAAAAATTTAATGATAGAATGACCAAAAGTATAGAATGGGTCAATTTAATTTCTCTTCACTTGGCTAAGACTTTTTTTTTTCATTATACAGTGTGGCAGTGGCACTTGTGTATCATTAATAAGGACAACAGATAAAAATTTAATCTGCATAGTAACTCCAATAGCAGGTTTCCATAAGTCTCCAAAGACCAAGTTTCAATCAGTTTTCCCACGTGAATTACAACAGATGTCAGGCTGCCTTAATTATTGTTATTTTCTAAATTTTCTTTTGGTTTTCTTTTCTTTTTTTTTCTTGTCCTTTCTTATTTTTTTCCAGCTAGTTAAGTACAATTCCACTTGAAAGGTAATCAGACTGTTACAAACCATTTCCTGCAGTTGTCCCACAAGCACCTTAGACACAGGTTTTTAATATCAGCCAATACTTGAACTTTGCCCCTCCTAAAATGACTGTCTCTGCAATGTGCCAAGCTCCACTTTACTATAAAATGCCATGTCAGGTGTCTGGGTTCAGGTATTCAGACTGGTTGTAAACCTAACTCACTACATATTTCCTACTGCAGTTGTTACGCTAGTACATGTGCTTTTTTATTATCTTTCTGAACCTGTTTAGGTGCAAGTGCTGGAGTTTACCAATAAATGACTTCAAGCAGCCTATCTATGATATATACAAAATGGTGACACTGCGAGTGTTGCCTAATAACTTAAGTATCCCCCAGATTCTTACAGGAAATGTTTGTTGGTTGTTTCTTGTTTGGTTTGGTTGGTTTTAATTTGGACCACCTTTGGGATAGCCTTGCAGATGACAAGCAGTTTAAAAGGACTAGAAATTTGGCCCTACTTAAATTAAGAGAGGCACATAAAGAACTTTTCATCATAAAGATATAATCCCACACTGAAACCTGTAAATAACTTCCACCATATTCAGACACTGTTCTAATAGTTGCAAGAATCTCCTAAATTGTAGATGATGAAATGAGCACAGTTTTACATGGCGAGTAAAGTATAATAAAGTGTCATTCCCCCACAGACCGAGAGAAGATTTGATATACTCTGTGAGAGGGTGTTTGGAGGCAAACTGTCCATTGAACATCCTGAGGTGCTTTATGAGGCCTCTTCAATTCTCTACTTAATACTTTCTCAATGGTAGTCTGCCCTATATAGTAATTCCCACTAAAATTTGAGGCATTGGCACCAGGTCATAATCAGACTGAGACAGTAATCCTAACACTGCAGAGGTGTTGGTTTGAAGAGTCACAAAACATTTGCTCTGAAACTTTTGAACAGAGGCTGATGCCTGGGCCTGGAGCTTCCTTCTTCCTGGAAGTTTGGCTGCCAGGGCTGGGGACAGCTGTAAAACAGCACAGCTACACAAAGAAGAAAGAGCCTTTGTGCCTGCCCAAGCAGTGCCACAACTCTGTAGGGACACAGCCTAAAACCATGATATCCCCATGCCGGCATGGTTGACGGCAAGTGTTCTCACCTTGTAAACACACAGTGATGGAGCTAGGGGCCCACAAGCTAAAGATCTTGCCCCAGTATATTTCCAGAGAGCATAAATTAATAAAAGCATACAAAGCCTATTGGGGGAAGGAGGAGAGGAGCTCCTGGGACTCTCAATGTGGGAGCTGTTAACTGGGGACATATTTCAAGGTCCACTGCTATGGACATCTGTAGGGCTGCTGGATTTTAATGAGCTTTGGGCGCTTAGGCCCCAAAGGGCCAGGCTCCCTATAAGTGACTGGATTTGGAGAATTTAGCAAAGCCCCTAGTACAATTAGTATAGAAATTTGTGATATTGAGGCCTTTCCAGGCATGCAGCTTGGAGGATAAACCTGGAGCGGCCCAATTAAGGAATGCTTGATTTGCTGTTTTAACCATGCTGTTAGTAAATGCAGCTGTGTCTTGCATAACATGCATGCATAACATGCCACAAATGGCCTCTCTCATAAAAGGTACCTAGCAAAATGCCTTGAAATACAGTATATAAAGAGTCATCTTCACACATAGAGGGTCCAGAGCAAATTGTCTGTCTTCAGCTCATTCTGTGTTTGGTTTGGTGATTTATTTATTCTTTTTCTGCAACAGCTAAGAGCAGAACATGGCCCACAGCCACTGAATACTAAAAATCAGAAAGATGAAGCAGGAGAACAGAGTTTGGTTCCAATCAAAGTACGAAAGTTGTCCTGAACAAAACCCTTGCAGCTTTTCCTACTATACTGTAGTAGCTATAGCGCTAATCAATCTGTCTCTTCTGATTGTTATTCCAGGCATGATCTTCTGGGATATTTTTAATGATAAGACTGATTTTTAAAATTTGACAAGTTTCAAGAGGCACCTCCTACTTGTAGAGGCACATTGTCAAAGAATTAGACTCCTTAAGTCCATTTCTTCAAGTGTCTCTTAAAAGGCCTCATGGGAAAAAAAAAAAAAAAGAAAAGTAATTTGGCCTTATTTAGTTCTCTCCTCTTTTTTAGTGATACTGGCATCTTTGGGGGCACATTAAAATATCATGACTGGAATTTTTCTTTTGCCCTATCTCTCATAGTAGGAAGCCTAGGAAGCCCAAAACTGCAGCTCAGTATTTATTGACTGGGAATCACAAGGGAAAAGAATCTGCATTTCTAGCCTCAGTAGTGCTTGTTTCATTACATAGATATGGCGATAAAGTAGCTGTTAATGGCAGCACATTGTAAAGAGTTTCACTCACCTTCCTCAGGTGCTAATAGCCTTTAGAGACTGATTTACAGTGAAGAAAATTGAATTTTTCTCTTCTTTGTCCTGCTGTCCTGACTTATTAAAAATAAAAAATCAAAAAAATGGTTTCACATGAGTCCTATCACCAAGGTAGCAGCTTATTTCATTCTTTCAGAGGATATTAGAAAAATTAAAGCTGTGTGTACCTTTTTGGCCCAGGAATGATCTTTATGTATGTGCATGTACACCTTTGAGACACAAGAGATGCCACTTGAGTCTATTTTTTTAAGACTGCATTTTAGAGAAGGTGCCTTTGTGCAGGCAACCTATTAACATTGTTTCAGCACATGCTCCTGAATCACAATGTTGGCTTAAAATTCATAACTGACAAAAAATCTATTGCCTTTTCTTTTCAAAGAAAAACTCTTTGTGTTCTCCAGCATTTATTTGTATCCAGGCAATTTATGAGAAATGCTTTTATAAAAGGAAATCTGAGATCATATTTACCCAACTGCCATAAAATCTAGGAATAGAGAAATATTGTCTTCGCTATGAAGACTTAGCAGTACTGGAAATGACGATCAAAGAGCTGAAAACCTGCTACTGGTTTAAGTTTGTGCATCTCTGCCCCAGTCTCAGGGCACCTAAGCAGAAAAATTAAGATTATTTTGAAAAAGGCAAAGTATTTAGGGAATGTATTCAGCTCATACATGCAAGTTATTTGAAATGATAGCTTATGGGAAAAAAATAAAAAATAAAAGAATCCCACACAGCTTCTTTGCTGATAATTGATGAGGGTAAATTTTCACCTTACTATAAGCATAACCTAAATCTTGAACTGAAAACATATACATGTATAAATATATATTCTATATATAGAGAGAGACAACTGCCAAGAATGGGAGTCTTTATAGTCCAATGCTAGTAGTAAGAATAAAAGTTGCAGATGGTTTACTGAAAAACAAAAACAAAACAGTAAAGCAAACAAACAACAACAACAACAAAAAACAACACATAAATATAATATTCATGAAAATAGCATAAATAGAAAATACAGTAGAAGTATGCAAAAATTCTAGTGTATCTGCATTATACAACAAAATCTAATTAAAGTACTTACTTCATCTGTATGACAACAGATTTTTATACAAAGTTCTGGTTTCCTCTTTAGGAAGTGTTGGTCAAGAAAAAGAAGAGAGATGGTTGATTCATTGTGTTTCTACTTTCCCCATGCCCGTAAAAAGCAGAATACATGGCTCTGCTCTGAAGCATAATTAAGGTAGTAATAATATTCTGGAAATCTCTACCTGATACTAAACAGTGCTCTGTCAAGTTTTTCCAATATACAACTAGAGCATATATTTGGCTTTTGCTCTTTTCTCCTCCTGCAAACTTAATCTGTTTCAATATATGCTTCCAAGATACAAGGTGTTTAAGAATTTACACGTCTGGCCTTAGTGGAAATGGAGCTGTAAGGACAGAAATTTCCTTCAGAGTTAAGTCTTAATTCAAACTGTGACCAACAGTACATGACCAAGAAGACAAACAATTTATTTTTTTCTGTTACCTTAACTTTTTGAACCTTCAGTATTGCACCTCAAGAGATATGAAACATATTTTGCAGCAAATTAAATAGGTAGATAAGTTTCCCAAGACTCCTTTAGAAGACAAATAACTATTGTGAGGGCTGTCCTTGCTATTTAATTCCTCAACAAACTATGGCCTGGAGCAGTTTGGACTACAGCAGTGAAGGATTCTGCCCCCCTCCATGGTTGGTTTAAGGCAGGTGCTCACGTTCACTATGATGGAGCAGGAACCTTTCCCACCCTGGGATGGAAGATACAACATTCTTATTTAAAGACAAGCTTCCAAGCACAACCTTAACCTACAGCCTACTGTCAAACAACAAGCCCAAGGAATAGCAGAAGCTACCAGAGGATGGAAAGACACATATGAATCTAGAAGCAGGAGCAGAGCAATAGGCTTTGCTCTCAAATGACCCAACATTAGACTGCATTTCCAGGGTTAACGAGAAGGAACTGTGGGCTCTGCCAGGTGTCTGGGCAGTAAGCCAGGAGTGTGGTGCTGTAGCCATCAGAAGCTGGTTGTTCAGTGTCTTGTTCTGTCACTCTTCAGACTAATTATACTGCCCAGCTCTTGGGATACCCGACAATTACATGGCATGTGGGAACTCTCAGTGCCTTGCTTTTTCTTAGCTCAGCTCTGAACTCCTTGAATTATGCATCAGTTGTCTCTGCTGTGATCAGTCCAGTGGAGCAGCTCAAGGGAAAGCAGCCTGCAAGATTCCAGACCGCCTTCACAGGCTTTCCTTTCCTAAAATCATTGCTTACACAGGAGACAATTCAATATTCTCACCAGTTAAAGGACTGCCATAGCAGTGGGGAATGCGGATTCCTGTCCTTGTCCTAAAGATTTCAAAAATCCTTTTACTAAGTTTGTGAAATCCTTTTTTCTTCACTCCTGATAATTGGAAAAGCCTGCTCCACAGTGTTAATGCAGCGCAAAGCTGGAGTGGGCTGACTGTGGGCTCAGTATGAGGAGGAAAAAGGCAGAAGAGTCACATCTCTGCAGAGTGGTAACTCCTTGGTTAGCTCTCATATTTTTCAATGTGAAGTTTCTGGTGCTTAATACAGGCAAGATGCAACTCAAGGACAATGAATCATTTTCTACCTAAACCAAGTAAAGCTGGTGTCTCTACTCTAGGAAGAAGGAGATGGCAAAACATGCACCTCTCCACTGAGACTGTGAGCCATTTATCACAAGGTCTTAACAAATCCTACACGGTCTCTCCACTGCAGTGTTACAATTTCCATTTTCATTGTATTAGTACTGCAACTGCTAGTATTAACATCAAACTCTTCTCCATACCTCTTCAGTCTTCTTTGTGTTCTCCCAGAAAACAATGTAAGTTATTTTTCAGAAATACTCACTTTCTACATTGGAAGAAATTTTCTGTTCCCAGTTACTAGTATTTTATGAGTATTTTAACATAGCATGGGTATTCTGGGAGAAAATGCACAATTTTTCCCATAGTTCATATGTACACATCACAGTTTACAATTTCTATGCTTCCACGGGTTCATTTACAGAAACTTCAGCAAACTGCTTCTAATCAAAGCCCAATCCACTTCAAACAGTGCTGGCTTCAGCAAATCAGATTCACCCCCCATTGTGGTGACAATTTGCTCTGGCAGGATGGTCCAGTGACTCCCTGAAACAGATTCCTACAGTGTTGCTTTAAAATAAATGATAACGTGAAGAGTCTGAATGCAAGAATACAGTCTGAGGGAGCCATAGTCAGTGAAGACAGAAGGCTATAACACACTTAAAATTAGGAATTAGGAATTAGAAATCATTAGCAATTGGAGTAGTTCAGTTGGAAGGGACCTGCAAAAATATTTTATGTCTTGTAATATGAAATAGCAAACAACTGGAAAATAATTTTTACCTGACAAGTAGCAAATGACTCAGAAATCCTGTACATAGTTTCACAGAAGTCTCAAAGTGCACATGGAACATCTGAGACGTTAAACCAGCACTGCAAGCTACTCTAAGTAAGTGTTGTGGTTAGGAAAGCATTATGGCTCCCTACAGAGGTAGGGTAGGTTAATGCTGGATGAAGTGGAAACAAAGAGTTGTTCTGAAGTTGGATGGTTCCTAATTTCCCTTCCCACGCTAATTGGATGATCAGTCTGTTACGCAGAGGAGGAAAAATGAGCCTTGAAGGTACATAAGGATGTGTAGACAGGTACAACAGGAATCCAGAAGTCATGATTCACGCTCAGTTTTCAGCTCGCAGTGCAAGCCTCCAGAGAGACTCACTTTGACAGGTGTGAGCTGAGAGCAAGGGGCCAGGCCAGCCATCGAGCAACCCAGAGCATCTGACACTACATTGTTTATTTATATTCCATATACTCACCATGCAGCTGTCAGCACCACCCAATATATGTCTAACATCTTACAACTCCCATGCAGGGGACGACCATCAGGGCTTGGACGCACAAGCCAGCTGGATAACCTTCCAACCTACAGGAACTGCTGAGGCAAATAAATAGAATCATTATACTGGGAAAAAAAATATTTTTTGAAGTGACTTTTCCAGAAAAAGACCTCTTTTGAAGCCCTACTGCATACTTCTGGCATGCTACAAGCTCAGAGAAATGCAGGATCTGACACATGTCTCAAGTGACCTGTTCTGGTCTTGTGATATGTGTGCACAGCTAGCAGCTGTCACCTGTAGGAAGCATATGTACAGTCCATCATCTGTATCCTTTGTTTTACTGCCTTTAAAATATTAACATAAAATAATTCATTATTGATTTCACATATCTGTAATTTGTTGTTAATTTAACAGGATAATGTTAATTTTAACAGGATAAAATCTGCATTTAAACTTTATTAAACGTGTATATTGAAATTGTCCTGTGCTGATTTGCTAATGCTTGCCTTGTTCTGAACTGTGGGAAAGTTGAAAATACTGAAATCTCATTTCCCAGGAAGTTATACTGGTCATGTTTGTTAAATAGAAACAAAAATAAAAGACACTTTGTTGTTGTTGTTGTTGTTAGATTAGAACATTTGGATTGTGTACAAAACTTGTTTTAGGCAATTTAGCCCATGTTGTCATAATGACATGTAGCAATGCAAGTTTGATGTCAGTGATATATGTAGTCAGTAAGAATCAGGATAACAAAAGTACAGCACAGTCAATACTTCTCTATAAAGTCTATAAAGGAGAGAAATGAGTTTTAATGATACATGAACAGCTAGAAACACTTCTCCAAGTGGTATTTCTGCACACAATGCTTCATTTTGCTGTTGTTCTGCTGAGATGGCTGAGGTTTGATTTTAGCAATAGCAAGTATTTGATTTAAAAAATATATATGAATGCAAATTCCTATATGAGATTTCAGCACTAAATCTATCAAAAATAACAAGCACTAATTGAGCTTTATTAAATCTTACTTGAATAAGCTAGTGGTGAGCTGCCAGGAACCCAGGGCTTCCGTGGGCAGAACGTGACAGCCCACTTCTCTTTCTCAGCTTCGCCTCTTTTCCTTGAATGAGCTCATCTTGTTTGTGATGGGAAGTATGACCTTTAAGCCAGCCGGAGATCTGAGGTGGAGTTTTGGGTCAAGCCGGATCTTCTCGTTACCGTATGTGCTTGAAAAAAAAAAAAAGTCAAAACAACTTTTGAACTCCAAAGCCAGGTTTTGCTAGTGTATAAACAAAACCAGAAATGACAAATTAATGTTTTGGAGCAGAGAAAACACAAAATAACTAGAAATAAAGTGGCCTTGCAAACCTCTCCCCCTTGAGCATAGATATCCTTTCTCTCAAGTCGACTTTCAGTTGAGCTCAGCAGCTGCCAAGATTTCTGCAGAGAGCTCCCTGGGGCCTCCAGGAAAGACTTCCTTCCACCCTGTAAGGTCCCTGGCCACCTGCCAGGCTTGCCTGCTCCCTCCTCACGTGCACTAAGTCCCAGGGAACTCGGACACATCAAGGCATGAAGGCTGTCTTTGAAGGAGAGACACTGACAGAGACCAACAGGGCAGAAGAATTTGCTCTGATTTTGTTACTGGAAATACAAGTAGAATAAAGGCTGACATGGGCTATTGGCAGATACTGGTAAATACTACTGGAAAAACTGTGAAATTCTATACCGGTAGGCAATAAAAGCCCACAAGTAATATCATTTTGCTTCTACAGGTTTATAACTTACCGTATTCATGACTAGACATTTCCTAATTAATACTGCAAAGTCCCCAAAACACCATCTCTTGAGTCTTCCCAGTAGCAGGGCTTGGTATCACACCTCCATGTAAGTCTTTTCTTATATTAGAAGCAAACAGTTCTGTGGTGCTTGCATTAGTGCCTTATTTTTTTTTTTTTTTACATTGCTTTTTGGGTAGAATTATGTGTAATGCCTTCCAGCAATGCTTTTACATGGTACCAAACCATCTTCATAATTGATTATCTCACCAACTGATGCTTAAATTTTATTCTTATTTAAAGAGTTAATAGTTAAGACTCTTAAGTAAAAAAAAATAAATAAAATAAAAAATCTCCCTTCTCAAAAAGTTGTAGTTTAATATGATAAACAAGTTTTGTGGCAGACTTGTAAATGTTAGATATGAGCTGTATAGGAGGTATCGATTCATATTTGTTGGTCTTTTCAGAAGAAACTGTCTAAAAGTCAAGGGCCTTCCACTATAGCCTTTCTCCATGTGCATTTCAGATGAACAAGTGAAACTGGGCAGACTGCGGTGCCAGACACCAGTTTGAACCACATCATCCCTAGCTGTGGCACTGGTCACTGCTGGTTCATTTACTATTGCTCCCTTTAGTTGGCTCTTTACCCATTCCAGGGCTTTGGTGCTCCTGACTTCCCATCGGGTGTCCCAGCTGCAGAGAGGCAGGAGCTCGGGTATGTCCCTGCAGCTCCTCTTTTCTGGAGGATGCTTTTTGCCCACTGCCTCCTCAGCAGTTCTGCTTTTCAGATGCACTTATATCTTTCTTTTTCTCTGGAAGAATATGCTTTCCAGAGTGTTACAGCCAAAGAGCAGAGCACTGTGTCATGAGAGCCATGGTATTTCATACAGGGTGACATCCTTTCCTTGGTACTGCAACACCTTCAGTGGTGGTCCTGTCTTTGGTCCTAAATAGCCCTCATTTAAGCAAGCAGCTTCCTTTGATAGAAAACCAAGGAAATTTTGCAGTATGCAACCAAAAGTAGAAAGTCAGGCTGCTGTCCCAAGGGGAGACAGAGCCTCATCTAGCACAAATTGTAATAGAGGATCTATAAAAAATGAGAGCTTGGGCTCGCCTCCTCTCTCTCCTGCAGTCTGCTAGGGATTTATAAATAGAAATGGGCAGTTTGGGCTTTTCCAAGAAATTAACTGCCAGCTCTCAGTGGAGACTGTCAACATTCAGTAGTGGATGTAATGAGCAGAGAGTAAATGAGACATTTGCAATCTTCCACTGCAGTGGGCTCTGACATCCCTGTTCTGTTGCTGATCCTAAGTTAACAGAAACTCAGAGGACTTTTCCTTCCACTAAAAAGGGCTTCCCACTACGTTTGCCCTGTCCTATACTGTCTAGCCTTAATGCCATTATAGAGGCAATGTTTTCAAACTAATTCCTGTTTATACTTCCTTTTAATACTCTTATACAGACTGTTGGGCATTTGACAAGCACTACACTTTTCTTCTAACAATTCAGGACTGTGTAAAGAAAGATGTTTCAATTTTGGAGCAGGTATGACGTTGTTTACATCAAACCAAACTCATCTTCCCTGGAGAAAGGATCTAGTCGTCTTCTACAAGAGGAAACTGAGATGGTGCCTGTGCAGGCTGTCCAGCCAGAAGCAGGCCATGTTGTTTGAAGATCAGCTGCCCATACCTTCCCCGTAGCATTTGGTGGAGAGCGACCATAATCTGCAGAACCATCTGTATTCATGTGCACATTGTATGTCTCCATGGCCCTGTATGTCTACAAGTAGACGGCTTCCTATGAGTGTGCACCAGATTATCATCAACATTTCATTCACTGAAAAAAGAAAAAAGAAAGAAAGAAACAAACAAACAAAAAAACCAAACACATCTATTCAAGCACTCAATAATTGCCTTTCAATTCTTCCAGAAAGAAAATTGAGGTGAAAAGGGCCTCATGCATCTCCCCAGCTGTTCTCTGATGGGTTTTGTCTTTAGCATGCTCTGAACTTTCGGCTAGTATACTCTTCACTAATTGTGCTCTCCGTTGGGTGGCTGTTTACCACATCAAGTGCCACTCATTTGGATTTGATAGTGCTTTTCTGGGATATTTTTGGGGGAATAAAAGTGCACTCAGCTGCCTGACTAATCTGTGGAAGGCTTACAAGGGAAAATAACAACAGCAGCTTCTAAGCAATACAAGAATCTTTTCCAAGATGTTCCCAGGCATTGTTGATTCCAAATAGTGCTTAAATATGAGTGTGCATTTTCCCCTATGCAATCTGTATTTACCACAAATATCAGATCCCGAATCGTGGTCAAATCCAATGAGAGAATTTACAATGTGCAAGAGCTAAGGTTTCCATGACATGCCTATAGACAGCAGATGGGAAAGGTGAAGTACACTGCCATTCAGAATAACATTTTCTTTCTCTCTGGAAAACAATGGGTTCATTGTGATCTCAACGAAATCTGCAAGGTACAAGTACGCATTTAGAGATGGGTTAAAGTAAAATCAAATGAGATTATCATCCATATTCTGCACAGACATTTTGCTGATGTGATTAGGGCAATTGCTTTGCGTAGAAATGATAGGGAAATTAAATATATTCTCCCGAGCTGTCAGATTTCAGGCCACTTCAATTTTGCTAGACAAACTTACGCAGGGTTTGAAGAGAAGTTGCTGTAGCTTCAATTGCAGTTAATTACAGAGAACTATCAGTCTTCCCAAAGCAGTATCTGACGAGATATATGCAGCAGCACGGTATTTTTCAAATATCTCTGTGACATTTTAAGAAACACTGCACTTGGGAGGAACGAATGCAGCACATGTGGAAAGTGCAGGCTGCACCTCCAGCTACCTTGTGGCATATCCTCACATTTCCGATTTCAGGAACATGGCTTTGTAGGGTAGACATGTGGGGAAGTCTCCTCTTTATGTGAGACAAAAATGCACAAGTTTCTGAACTTTTATGTGGCCCCATGCAATCTGTCTGCAGTGTCTAACAGAGACTGTGGATACTAACTCGTATTTTTAACAGTACAACAATAAGTGCCCTGTGCTGATACAACTGGTAGCAAAAACCATGGTGAATAGCTCAGAAAGTCACTCCACAGCCCACACAGGAGGACCTGGGAGTCTCTCAATGCACTGTGATTACTTTCAGTCCTGCAGCAATTTTTGTTGATGAGGGATCAAGTCTTTTTACCAAGACACAGTACAAACATCAAACAAGCAAGGGCCATGTCTGAAATGTTTCCCATCAAAAAGGACACAACTTTCCTGTGGATGGAATATTTCCTTTTGGTTGGAAAGCACCTTTGGTACAGGTTTGTTGGAAGTGAAAGGCTTCCACTTCGAAAGTGATAGTTTGCAGAAACCAGTCCAAAAGAGACTCAGGGAGAAGAAGGGAGCTAAGGAATAATACTGGTTGACACAGTAAACACACAACTGCTGGGCACCAAGCTGCTTTCTCCACTTACATACACACAGTGTTAATCATTTAATGAATATTACTTTTGTTTGCAATTTTTATCCCTCATTAAAGTGATTGTTCTCTGCTATTTTATACTTATTAAAATAAGTACTATGTTACTAGCTTTCGTTTTGGTAATTGTGAACTGAGCATATTTGTGCACGTGCTTGTGTGCATGTACAAATGCTATTAAGAGACTGTTTTTCACTAGTAAATATTAAGACCCCCCAGTCTCTCTTTTTTTTTTTTTTTTTTCAAATTTCACACAGAAGTATCAGTCTCTGAAGCAGGATTAAGTGGCCATTCTCAGCTACATCAGGCAGCCAGAGCTCCATTTAAAGCCTCTAGGGACAGTACATAGACATCTCAAAAAATCTGCCCTTCAGTTCTGCATTTGTTTTACTGAAAGCAGTCAAGATGATGACACACAAACAAAACAAAACAGTACATTCCCCAGATTAATGAAAAGCTGAGCACTTTAAAACAATTTTTCCATTCCATTAATGAGCAAAGAAGTTTCCAAACTAATTTGAGTAAATGCATGTTGACAAGCTTCACAGGGAAAAGCATTCTGTTATTCTTACTTTTTCAATAAAACAAAAATTGCTTTCAACCTGAAAATCCCCCAAGTTCTGGGTTACAGCAATCTTGGTAACATCCTAGAGACTTATAAAAATGCTGCACGGTGGAATATAGAAAGCGAATGGAATAAAAACCACTGTTCTCTGAAACCAGTGACTAAATGCCGAAATAGCCTGTGATACACTTTGTAGTTCAAACCGTGAATGCTCCTACAGTTCAAGCCTTACTTCTGCCACAGTGCTCATTAGCTGTCTCTGTCCTCACATGCAGCACAGCACTGCGAGGCTCTCAGGAGAGGGCAGGCTGTGATTGCCATCAGATGAAAGCCTGATTGGGTGCTGCTCTTGGCTCTGTGAGCTGTTCTCTTATTTCTTGATTCTGAGAGCAGCTACATCTCTGAGTATAACTTCCAGGATTATCTGCTGAGACACATTAAAAAGGGTAAAGATTCTTTAATTTGCCAGACATTTCCATACCCCAGCCCTATGGCACAGACAATGCAGGTGCTTCAGATCCCATTAGTTACTGCATTGTACTTACATCTTGAGGATCTCCTTCCTGTTGTACTATAAGGTTTATATCCACAGTTTCTGTTTCTCAGTGTGCAACACCTATACTGGTTTGCAATTATTATCTTGATAATGAA